CATTTTATTTTTTAGAAATCATTTCAAATAACAAAGCTTAATGGCCATTTTTGGAGAAGTCAAAAATTTTTAATTTTGAATAAATGGAATTGAATAAACTTTACAAAATAAATACAATAATAATATTATTATTATTGTATTTATTTAAATTAAAATTATGTAAAATTAAAATCATCATAAATAAATTACCATTATATGGTAACAATTGCCTCTAAGTGCAATAATAATTGTTTTGTAAAGTTTATTCAATAATAATGAAAATATATTATTATTATTATTATTTATTCAAAAAAGAACAAATTAAAAATCTCTTTAATACTAATGCTAAATAGAAATATCATACAAGCATTCTGAGTTAATGTGAAAATTTTTTAATTATTTAAGATTTAATATTTTATTCTGAAGTACCTATTCATTGTTATCTTCTATTTGTGCACTTAAAAATTATATGTTTCATTAAATCAAACTCATTATTGTAAGTTAGTAATTTAAAAATTTTAAAAAGAGTTCTATTGTGTAATAATTTTAAATGTAAATTTCATTGACTATAATATAAATTAAAATTCGAAAAAGCTGAAAAGTTGTAACAGTAACCCAAACCTGGGTCCAGAAATAAATCTTGGGATGGCAATTTATAATTTGTATAATGAAATAAACAATATATAAAAGTTTTGTCATTCTAATAATTACTTAAACTATATAAACTTAAAGAATACAAAAATATAAAACTGGAAAGTAATTATAAATATTTTAAAGTATAAACATTATTTTAATGAAATCCATCAAACAAACAAAGTGATAATAAGATACGTCGTACTAACCTTGTATAGCATTGCATTTACTACTAAAAACATAACACAAATGTTTTTAAGTAGTAAATGCAATGCTATACAAGGTTAGTACAACATATCTATTATTTTAATGATATACTAAATGTCCTGTTAGCAATAAAATATTTTATAAGAGCAATTGTTCTTATCACTCTTCCTTTAGATCTGTATCTGCAATAATCACAATTGAACAAATATTGTTTTTATGAATAATTTTTATAGATTATTTACATTTATCTATGTAAAACAAAGGATTTATATTTTACACATAAATGTAATCCATTGTATTTATACATCTGAAATATATGTTTTTTTATTTTTAATATTGAATATGATGCATCCAATTTTTCTTAATTTTGACTTGTTTTTTCACATTTATCTGAGAGATAGGTAATTAAATGTTTTCCTTATATTTTTTCCTTAAATGTTTTCTTTATTACTTCCTTATTATATTTATTTCATATTTTCAATTATTACTTTAGCATTTTAATTTAATTTATTTGAAATTCATGGAATAAATTTTAAGTTTTTATTCATTTAAATTATTTCTTTACATGCATAATTAGTAGTATTATTGTCTGTTAATAAAAATTTGATAAGAAAAGAAGAATAAAGTTAAATTTACATATACGAGGTCTGTTCAAAAAGTATCGGACTTTTATTTTTTCTGTGTAAACCAATGATTCGCGGGAGGCCTCTTTCGGTGGAGTTGTGGAGGGGACAGTCATGCACAGCCCTGAATTTTTTCCCGCCTGCAGGAAGCATTAGTCGTTGTAGTTGGCCTATGAGTGAGGACATCTAGCGAGCTCAGGTCGGATTCCACTAAGCTGGAAAATGACTGAACAACATGAGCAGCAATATTACATCAAATTTTGCCAAAAACTTTGGCGATACCCGAGTGTAAACCATTCGCAAGATTCAGCAGGCTTTCGGGGACGATCCTCGAGGCCAAAAAAAGCACGGCAGGTCCGCAGCAATATCAAGGTCATGTTGACAGTTTTTTCGACTCGCGTGTGGTGGTGTATCGTGAGTACGCACCACAAGGCCAAACCATCGCAAAGGAGTACTATCAGGAGGTCCTTTGTTGTCTTTCCGATGCTGTGTGACGCAAACGACCAGATCTGTGGTCGATTAAAACTTGCCAGCTCCATCGTGATAACGCATCCGCCCATTCTGTGCATCTGATTCAGGCTTTCGTCGCCAAACACAGCACTCCTGTGGTTTGTCATGCTCCGTACTCTCCCCATATGGCTCTGTGTGACTTTTGACTATTTCCCAAACTGAAAATGCCACTAAAAGGAACCCGATTTTAGTCGCGAGAAGACATCGTGCAGAATGTGACGGACTGGCCGATGGCCATTCCAAAAGATGCATTCCAGCAGTGTTCCCAGCAATGGCAGGAATGCTGGGAGAAGTGTATACACTACCAAGGAGACTACTTTGAAGGAGATTAGGGTTTTGTACCTCAAAATCAATAAATGTATTTTTGCTGACCAAAGGTCCGATACTTTTTGAACAGACCTCGTACAGTCGACCCCCCTATAACACGATAGATACGTTCCGTTCTTTATGAATCGATTTCTTACGAGTCCTTGCCAATCACAGCCCGACACATGTGAAGTTTACGGACTACAGCTGTTTGAAAGGTTTTCTTCCATAAAATTAATCGATTCTAGACTAATTCGACTCAACATTTCCAAAATACATATATTTTTTTTGGGAATAATCCATATAAACTACGCTATAAACAAAAAATTGTAGGATTACTTACCGAGTATGCACTGTTCGATGTTGCCATTGCTCAAGCTTGTTTTCGTCGCAGAGCAATGCACCAAACCATTGCCGTGATTTCTAATAAGTTATTTTTCTGCAAAAACTTCGGTGAACTTTGGAGACATCATTAATATAAATAATTTTTATGTCCGTTGAATAACAAATGTTTCTCTCACAGGAAATGTATAAAATTACAGTACTGTATTAGACTTACAGTACCTAATTTACATACTGTACAGACAATAGTAAACAACTTACTCGCCTAAACTCTCTGTAGCGTGGCGCTGGACGGCGGAAAGTATATATATAATTATAATAAAGTTACAATAAATTAAGCTAATATATAATTATATGTACAGTACCTAATTTATATATAATTTATATATAATACTGTACAGACGATAGTAAACTCAATTTACCTGCCTAAATTCTCTGTAGCGTGGCGCTGGACGGCGGAAAGTATATATATAATTATAATAAAGTTACAATAAATTAAGCTAATATATAATTATATGTACAGTACCTAATTTATATATAATTTATATATAATACTGTACAGACGATAGTAAACTCAATTTACCTGCCTAAATTCTCTGTAGCGTGGCGCTGGACGGCAGAAAGTAGTTCGGCTGCCCGATGACGTTTTACTGAATTATAGGAGTTTTTTTACCAGGTTTGTACAGATACTGTTGCAATTTTTTCGCCGTCTTATAGGAATCGTAATTATAGGAACCCATGTTATAGGGGGTCTACTGTATATATAAACTTAACTCATAAATATAAAAAAATATACAATATGGTTGATTTGTTTGTTTTCTTGTTTTTTGATAACCTCAATCATAAAAATTGCATTTTTATGATTGAGGTTATCAGAGTTTTACTTTCCAACAATTTTTTTTAACAACCAGAAACAACAAAATAAAACTGTTTACAAAATATGAAAGTGTAACTGAAAAAGTTTTATCATCAGGTGACCAAAAAAGTTTGTGTGGTTTTTGAGGTTAAAATTAAAATGTATAAAAAAAAAGGTGAGTGAAGATATTTTATTCAGGAAAGTAAGCACCACACAATGTATAATCTTTTCCCAGAGATACATGTTTGTAAATACCACTTCAAAAAAATCCTGATCTTTAAAAGCAAAGTGTGGCTGCTTGCAATATTGTTTGTTTTACTTTTATGCCTAACATCTTTTCCTTCATTCTTTGTTCTTTGTTCCTTCTTTTTCGAGAACTTTCTGTCTCCTTTTGTTCTTTCATCAGTCAACAAGCGGGGATCCGTTCCTGGAACCATCAGGAACAATAAGAAGAAAAGTCACATGAGATGTTGGGAAGAAAGTTGTAGGCCACTTTTCAAAGAGGATGGATTTTTTTTCACTCAAGCCGAGAAAAGGATCGGCAGTTTTAGGAGCGGAGTCAGATGAAAAGAAGCAATGTCTTGCATAGTGACCATATGGTGTGACAGATGATCCAAGTGCAGTCTTTGGATTGTGTAGTGAACTCTTGTGACAAGTAGTAAAGAAAAGGAAAAAAGGAAGGCATCAAAGAGTATTTTGCCTAAAGAAAGAAGTGGAACTTTATACGAAGACTTCCCAGTAGACCCCCTTTTCATTGGAAAGGAACTACGTCATTCAAACACAAAGAAAAAATATCCCGGACATTTCTATCCTTATTCTATCTCTATCCTCTTCATGAGTTTTATTCCATATTTTCGTGTTTTAATTTTTAAGATAGTTTTACTGTAGCCTTAGTTTATAATTATTGTAATGTGTAAATGGATATAAGTTTTTGTACTTTCTTACTTGACACATCTCCAAACAATCATTTGTGATACAGCATACTTTACTGCAAAAAATCTTGTCTAATTGATTTTTGTGGACTTCCAGTGACATGTTCAGTCTTCCTGTTTCTTTTTGAAGCTGAATACTACTTGTCTCTTGAAATTACTTTAAACAATGTCAGATACATTATTTGAAGGTTGATACTTTCCATACTGAATATGACATTGCATTGTGATAATAAACTTTGTTTTGAGAAATCAAAATGCACACATTTCTTTCTCTTAAACAGTTATTTTCAAGTATAATATCATATTATCTCCCAAATATCAATGTAGTGAGTGCAGCAATGCCAAATAAAACTTTTGAGTTACTCTTTTGTATTCTGTAAGCAGTTTTATTTTGTTATTTCCAGTTGGAAAATTATTAACCCTGACAATAATTTAAAATAACCCTGTCTATTCTTATATTTGTTCAAAATATTTTTTTACATGACTTTAAAATATTTAAATTTAAATATTTAGTCATGTAAATTATGCATATTTAGTCATTTAAAATCATGTATAAAATAATAAGTGTTAAATATAACACTTATAATAATTTAAAATAGCCATTAACTTTTTTTAGGTATAAGTAGAAATAAAATAGAGAAGATTGGTATGTTTTCTTCAGACACAGCACAGTTTTTCTTTGAAGATGTTAGAGTTCCAGCAAAAAATATTATTGGTGAGGAAGGAATGGGTTTCACATATCAAATGTTACAGTTTCAATATGAGAGATTGGCAGGTTGTGTAGGAGGTATGTATATGTTTATTATAAAAGTAATCTTTTGCTACATTCTAAAATATAATTATGATACATGAATAATATCATAATTTCATGCAGCTAACCTACAGTCATGTATATTTAAAAGTCAATTTGAAAATGGCTGCAGGTTACGGATGATATGGGCTGTCTGATAATTTTAACTTCCAATTTAAAAATCATCAAATAGCTTTCTTTTATCTAAACTCATAAAGAGCATCTTTAAAAGATGTGAAAAATCCTTTGCATGCTTCAGACATTTCTCTACTAGTGCAGTTTTTTTAGAAACCACTAAAGACATGTAAATGAATGTCTTGTAAGTCTGTTTTTTTGAAGCCCAGAAATTATCAGAAGTATTACATAAAAACAAAAACAAGGGTTGGTCAGTGTAGACTAAGAAGGTTATCTTACCTAAGGTTTAATCACACTAAGAAACCAATCTAACACATTTTAAAAATTCTTTTGTACACAATTTAAAGAATTTTTTAAAATGTGTAAGATTGGGCACTTGGTATGATACTCTTGCATAAGATAACCTTTGTAAATATAAATCAAATACTATATTTTAATATAATAGAAGGGTTAGCAGTACGAAATAATCTTAATCTTTGCTGTTGTTATTTTTTGCCCAAGCAACACAGGGCTCATTTGCTGGTATATTTTAAAATTTTAAGATAAATACTTTTGTATTACTTAATCTGTTATTAATATTTAAATAGTTTTGAATACATATGTACTGTACATTTTATAATTGTAATTTATTATCAAATATATTCAGTTCCCGTTTCATTGGAAAGGATAATACAAGGTACAATAGAATATTGTCGACAAAGAAAGGCATTTGGACAATCTATCTTGGATAACCAATACATTCATTATCGACTAGCCGAATTACAAACAGAAGTAGAAGCTCTTCGTTCTTTAATTTACAGGGCTTCAGGTACTGTACATGAAATTATATAATAGTTTGATGTTTTTCTTATTTGCAATTTTACAAGTTCAAATATATTTTTTTCATAATGTGAAAGTCTTTATAATAATTATTTATTTTTAATTAATAAAAAATAAGCAATACTTCTTATATACATTGACAAGAAATTTATCAAGGAATAAATATGGTAAAGATAAAACTGCTTGATTCAGATAAAGAAAACATTTTATTCAGACACTTTTGACTTCTAATCAGGCTATCCTCAGTTTACATGCAAATTGAAAGTCATAGAACAGTGTTAAGAATTCTTAACTTGCATCTGTAGTAGGTTCTTCTCTCATGAGATAAACCAAGTTTTGCACATTATAACACCTGATGTAATATGATATTTTGCATCATGGGGGACCAAAATGAGAAAATTTTATATCTAATATTTTATTTTAATGTACAACAGTCAGGAGATGGGAGATAAGAAAGATATATGCACGTCGATGGGCGGTCGTACGGCCTGGAATGCGACAATCACACAAATGTGGAATTGATCAAAAAATTGAATAATTTGCGTTATATTCGAGTTTTCCCGCGATTTTAGCTATGATTCGCTCTTTTGTTGGTCGATTGACTTTGTTTGAGCCAATAAGTGTTTTGTTACCACCCCTGGGCTTTAAATATTTCGGTAATTACACTCCCCTACCATTTACAGTAAATCTACACAGTTGGTTGAACACAATTAAAGGGAAACTCCTTCTAAAGTTTTATTGGTTATCTTCTGTCTTTGTTGACATTACTGTAACTAATCACAGACTTGTGAAAGGAAAAATTGCCGCGAAAAATCCCGCCTCCAACCTTCGAAGTAAAATGTAAAAAATCATAATAAATTCGCTTTTTAAATTGGTTTTTAGCACTAATTAACTAATTTAACGTTTTAACTCCTTGATCTCCGATCAATTTTTGATATTAATGTAATTAAACGTAAAAAATAGTTAAAACTGAAAAAAACTTGTTAATTTTGAAGAAAAAGCTTCAAACTTTATTTTCCATTGTCTGGCCTTTCTGCGAAATTTGACATCAATGAGTCATTGTGTTTACAGCTGGATGACCTTGAGAACAGCTGGTGTTGGATTTTCTGGGACATTCTCATAGAAGTGTCGGGAGGTGAAAGGTTTATAGTAGGGTGAATACTAGCTGGCCGTATATTTTTAAATATTTTTAAAAAATTAAAATTTTTATTGAGATTTCCGACCCCCCGACTTAATTAAACTTATATATAATAAAATCTATTAATTAAAAAAATTTAAAAACTATCGGAGGTCGTTTTTGACATCAGAAACTAGCTTTAAATAACTTACNGCTGAATCAAATATTTTGGCAACCCTTACATTTAAAAGGATTTCGTTTTTTTAAATGCACGTATATTTGTTTTTTCAAATGTGAAAGTATGTGTTTTTGTAATTTTTTTCTTATTAAAATTATGACTAACCTTTCTATGACTTACAAAACATTTTTCAGTTGTATGATAACTTCGTTTCCATACAAAGATTTTCTTCAAAGAACTTGGCATTTAAATTTAAATTTAAGGTGAAGTATAGTAAACTGTAATTATTTATTTATAATTGCCAATATTCTAATTATTCTTTGAATGATTTAAGATAACCTGTTTCATGAAAAGATATGCTAAGCAAAATATGGGAGTTTCAGTAGCAGGCTTCTTCTATCTTCGAAAAAATTTTCTAATTCGGGTAGGTTAGTTTATGAAAAATTTATTTATATACAATAAAAGTATTCTTTTCATACAATAACAATATTATTTTTATTCATAGATGGTGAGTGCATTGTACTCCACATTCTCTTCAGTTCTTCAAGTGACTGGAGTCATAAGCAAACATAAATCATGTGATAGAACATCTACAATCAACAATATTACAAATGATCAAATTAAATCTATTTTTAATGACTCCATTATCTCACAATATTGAAAGATTATACAATCTGGTAAATGTGAAAGAAATATTTCATTGAAAATCTTTCAAAATAATATTAGTATAATCAACAATTGTAACAATTATATGTTATGGTGTTTCATAATATGATGATGATAATAATAATAATAATAATATACGCAATTGAATTAATAAGTAATTGTATATATAAAAAATAGCATGCATTAGAATAAATATAAAAAATTCACAACATTTTTATTTTTTACACATGCATTGATAGAAATCTAGGGTCAGACCCGGGCTAGATAAATGTGATGGTAAAAATGAGAAAAATTACGTTATTAGAAGAATTTATTATGTAATGTTAAAATAAGTTACATCTTTATAGCTTCATTCTTAAGTTTTAATTGAATGTAAGATTACATTGAAAAAAGTTAATTATATGCACTTATTAAGTTGTTTGTTTTATTACTCTTATAATATAATAAAATTGTTGATACATGTCAAAGTTTTTGAAAATATTGTGTAAATAATAAATAAGAAATTTTGTAAAAATAAAAAATTTGCAAGAGCAATGTTAATCGCTTTAGTTTTCACCAATTTTTAATATTAATGTAATTAAACATAAAAAATACTTAAACTGAAAAAAACAAAACAAATGCGTTAATTTTGAAGAAAAAGCTTCAAACTTTATTTTCCATTGTTTTGCCTTTCTGTGAAATCTGACACTGATGAGTCATTGTGTTTACAGTGAGATGACCTTGAGAAGACTTTGGATTTCCCCGGACATTCTGATAGAAGTCTCGGGAGGCAAAGGGTTTATAATAGGGCGGATACTAGCTGGCCGTATATTTTGAAAATATTTTTAAAAAATTCAAAATTTTTTTGCGATTTCTGACCCCCGACTTAATTAAACGTATATATAATAAAATATATTAGTTAAAAAAATTAAAAAACTATTGGAGGTCGTTTTTGATATCAGAAAGTAGCTATAAATAACTTTACCGAAGGAAAATCCGTGCACTATAACTTTAGAACAATGAATGAAATTTGATATCAAATTCCCATTAAAAACAATTCATTTTTAATCATGCGTCATTAAAGGTAGATTAAAATCGGGATAAAATTTTTTCGCGCGGGTAAAAATTTTTGAAAAAATTTGGAGACCTAAAAAACATCCAAAAATTGAAAAAAAAAATTTTTTAGGGGCGAAAGGACCGAGTTTTTTGTAACGCTATGTAAACTTGACGAGTTATCTCGTCAATGGGGAGGATTAATTACTAATATTTTTCGCACGGGAAAAAATTTTTGAAAAAATTTGGAGACCTAAAAAACATCCAAAATTTACAAAAAAAAATTTTTTAGGGGCGAAAGGACCGAGCTTTCTGTAACGCTATGTAAACTTGATGAATTAACTCGTCAATGGGAATGAAGGGAGACATTAAATTAGCTAATTCAACAATATTTAATCGTATAAATATGTTTTTAAAACTATCTAGCAACAAATATTCCCGGGAAACTCCAGTCTCTATAGTAAGTCTATGGAAGACGTTCTTGCTGTTAATTGGCTTTAAAATTTTTGTTTCTATGCTTAATACGCTTTAATTGGTAATTTATATTACGACTGAATCAACTTCAACGAATGAGTGTTTTCAGAACCATCTGGTCTGTATTTTCCCGCGAAGAACCAATCCACGAAGTCATTACGTAAACAAACCTTAAAAAAATAGCTATATTCATTATTTTGGAGCGTAATTCTACTAGTTTTCATGTTATTTGACTCTACTTAGACAAGAAGATTTTTATCAAAAGCTTCCAGCTGAAAAATTTTCCGGGAAACTCATTACTTCTGGATATTGCGTAATCGCAGGAAAAAATTAACTAATCATTTATTATAGGGTACTATTATATAAAGCGTTGAAAAAATATGTAGAAAGTGAAAAGTATGTTGATAAACTTTGACTTAAAAATACCGGAGCCACTACCCACTCCCCACAGTTAGTCATATAGGGAGACAGAATACATTGTAACAAAAACTTTACTCAGAACTGTTTATATATACGTGAGGGCAAAGTCAAATTTTCGCAGTTACATAATAAGAGAAAATACGTAAACAATTGCTTGCAAATTTAAGTTGTATAGTCGATTACTGCAATAATCATCAAAGTAATATAGAAATACTTTTCATTCTAAGTAAGATTTATTTTGTATCGCTCCTATACAGAAGAACTTAGTGATAATGACTCAATAAATACTTCATCCAGTGAAGACAAGGAAGTAAGCGAGGTGAGTGAAATATGGAAAATTATTTCACTTAATAGTCGTGTCCACCATAAAGTGTTTCAGTACATATTCAGACCAGGACTGAAACATGTAAATTTGTCCCCAAACGACGAGCCAATTAAGTTCTATGAACTTTTTTGGTTAGACTGAAGCAAAAGGTATCCAGCTAAAAAAAGGTCTTAAACGTAATATTAACGAATAGACATAGATATATCTAGATGTAATTTGACACGCTGAGTCGATTGGTATTAAAAAAAATTACTTACGATCAACCGTTTAAAAGTTACGAACGATTTTTTATTTCCGGCTATTTGCTTCGTTTAAGAACAACTTTATTAAGAAATAAGCAGGCACTCATCGATATTAACAAAACGAGTTACTTTAATTCACCATAATACATTCCATCTACGAGAGAAAGCGACATTATTGCTAAAATGGTGTCATTAGCTCGCGAACACGCGTACACACGACAAGGGATTTAATGTCTTTAGTTCTTTATTCCAAGAAATCCGCTGTTATGCAAAAGGTCTCCAGCTTTAATTGCGTTTTATACACATTCTTTCCTCGCTGTTTCACATCCAGGAGTTTATATAGTATACATATACTACACACTCGTCATTAAAGCCTTCCTACGCCCATTTTATATCACTTATACAGCGACGAACGCTTTTACCCTAGATGCTGGCTACTCTGTACTAGCAACATTAAAAAGAAGTGACAATTGTAAAGTACATACAAAATAGTATTACGTTATGTATGGATGATTTTGTTGTAATGATTTTATAGAATTCGTAAAATTTATTATGAGCAATGTAGTAAACTTTGTTTAATATATTACGAAAATGTTTGCGTTTGAGGCATGCCACCGTTCTTCTGTTTTCTTTATTAATGGAACTTTGTCTGAGCTGTAATGAGCGATAGTTGGTATCAGGAAATTTGTAAATACAGTACTTTCTTCTACTGAATAGATCATAATGTCGACAACAAAAATGAGAGGCATATTTATAAGCTCTTTGAAAATTCACATCTTATGGAAATATGAATTTTATTTCTCGTGCCTTTTATAATTGACGTGTGTTTTGAACACTATTTTTATAGAAAATGCTAGACACATTTTTAAGCAAGGTTAATTCAAAACTAACAAATTCCACACAATTCGATTACAATAATGTTTTGTACTTGTTCATATCGTTTGATATCGTCTTTCGTCTTCTACATTGTTAATTGTACTGTCATTTTTTATATTTTAATTTAATTTGTATCACAATTAGACAGAACATTGTTTCTGGACAATTAGACAGGCACGTTGTCTAATTGTCCAGAAACGGCTATCAGTGGTCAGTGTTGTTAAAGAAGACTTTTATAAACTGAATTTATTAGAAACAAGAATGATTTTTGAATTTAGTAGCAATGAATGACATTTTTATTCTATAAAAATTTTATAATTTTATTTTATATTTTTAATTTGTTTTTGTTTTGTATATTTGAAAGAAATTTTAAAGATGTCTGTAATTGTTTTTTCGGTTTAAAATTTTAGTTCAAGTAATGAATGGAGAAAATGCAGTTCTTCTTACATCCATGTTGAAATTAAAAAGTGGCAGACTTTTAAGAGAGGCAGCAGATTCCTGCTTACAGTTCTGGGGAGGAATGGGCTACACCAAAGAAGCCGAAGTCAGTAGATTCTTTCGTGATAGTCGTCTTTTATCTATAGGAGCAGGAGCAGACGAAATTATGCTGGCTATTATTTGTAAATTGATGGATATATTGCCTGGTAAATCAAAGAAAAAGACAAATTAATAGTAACTTTTATAATTTATAAAATATATATGAAAAGTTATATCTCCATACAAACCAAATTATTAATTTTTGTATAAATCTATTGTAATTTATATGATACTTTACATGAACTTTTAAAAATACGATTATATACAAACGAATTTATTAATTTTTAATATATTTTTAAATATAGTAATTAAAAATAATTCAGCATAAATTTTAAAGATATTTTTAACTGAAAAATATCTTCAAAATTTATGATTTAAAAAAATTATAATTTAAAAAAAAATTGTCAACTTTTATAGTTTTTTGAAGTTCATTTGTAAATATAGAATTTAAAATATGTTAATTTACAAATATACATTAAAAAATTAGATAAAATTATCAAGTGTCAGTTTCAATTAGTTTTTGTTATTTGTATATCTTCAAATTATATTTTATCCTTGTACTTATATTTTTTTTAATAAACATTACCTGGATCTGTATATTGGAATACTTTATTAGTATCTGGCTGCTTGAATTTTAATTTAACACAAGTATTCTATTTTTTTTAAAGTACGAATAATTTCATCATTTATTTATATTTCAAATATAATACAAATGAATAATAATTCTCACCTAGTCACTACCTTGTCAAGGTGAGAGAGTTTAATATTTTCAATACCATAGAGCAAGCCTTGTGGTAGGATAAGCTCCTAGTTGGACAACTCATATCAGAGAGGTCTATCCAGAAACACAAAGAAAATATGTTTAAAAGAAAACTATTCGAACATTTAGAAATTATAAAAATATAAAATAATAAAAGATAACACAAGCCTACAGCTACATGACTTGGGAGGTTTTCCTAACAGATGGGGAAGGGGGAAAAAACCAACACATATTAATGTTAAAGCAGGTGTGAAATAGTGATGTACTGCAAGTTGTGTAACGCCATGATACAGCACGAACTCACCAAATTCATATTTTGTATCGAATATTGAAATCTATGTATAGTGACTGATGAGGAATATGATAGGCCCGAAATTCGCTTCGCAATAAATACATAGGGAAAGAAAACAGTGTCTCAATTTCAGTGACCGTCCAGTGTGATAAGTCTGCCTATTGGAAAATTGCATTAGCAAGAATCATAATAAACTTTTTCTGGAATTTATGGGACAATCGTTACAGAAGTTGGGCACAATGTTGTAAAAACCGATCATTCCATTGATTTTCTTAGCATTCTGGCCTACTTCTTCAGAAATAAAAATTTTGAAGTAATATATAAGAAAAATATTTTCAAAAACTTAAAAAAAAATAGTTACAATTTTAGTTAAGGCTATTGTTAGTTTTACGGGCTTTTTAAGCAAGATAACTCTTCGGTGCCAACAGAGAACATTTTAGAAAGATGGTCATATAATGAATGAAAGGAGAAGTAGAATAAAACCAGAAAAATTAGATACTCTAATTTTTTTAAATAAAAAGTTGTAATAAAAATTTATAATAATTTTCATATTTACAATCTTTGAAATAACATTTAAAATTGTGTTAATATGTTCAGTTTATCATCTTAATAAACAATAAAGTTTAAAAGAGTAGTTACTTGATCAGTTATTGCATTACCAATTTCATTATCTAATAAGATTTGTTTTCAAATTGCGATATTTTGCATTTTTTTTTGTAATACTTCGCGTAATCTTGAGTTGATCAATGTCCAAATTTCTTACTAGCAAGGGTCTAGTCATTTATATTATCAATTATCAAATTTGATAATTGATAATATAGATATTGATTATGAAGATTAATCTGTCAACGACATGGACATTTAGTGGTTTCAAAAGTGAGTTTTTAATCATTTACATTAAAATTTTAATACTCTGGAGAANTGAATCGATTGGTATTAAAAAAAATTACTTACGATCAACCGTTTAAAAGTTACGAAAGATTTTTTATTTCCGGCTATTTGCTTCGTTTAAGAACAACTTTATTAAGAAATAAGCAGGCACTCATCGATATTAACAAAACGAGTTACTTTAATTCACCATAATACATTCCATCTACGAGAGAAAGCGACATTATTGCTAAAATGGTGTCATTAGCTCGCGAACACGCGTACACACGACAAGGGATTTAATGTCTTTAGTTCTTTATTCCAAGAAATCCGCTGTTATGCAAAAGGTCTCCAGCTTTAATTGCGTTTTATACGCATTCTTTCCTCGCTGTTTCACATCCAGGAGTTTATATAGTATACATATACTACACACTCGTCATTAAAGCCTTCCTACGCCCATTTTATATCACTTATACAGCGACGAACGCTTTTACCCTAGATGCTGGCTACTCTGTACTAGCAACATTAAAAAGAAGTGACAATTGTAAAGTACATACAAAATAGTATTACGTTATGTATGGATGATTTTGTTGTAATGATTTTATAGAATTCGTAAAATTTATTATGAGCAATGTAGTAAACTTTGTTTAATATATTACGAAAATGTTTGCGTTTGAGGCATGCCACCGTTCTTCTGTTTTCTTTATTAATGGAACTTTGTCTGAGCTGTAATGAGCGATAGTTGGTATCAGGAAATTTGTAAATACAGTACTTTCTTCTACTGAATAGATCATAATGTCGACAACAAAAATGAGAGGCATATTTATAAGCTCTTTGAAAATTCACATCTTATGGAAATATGAATTTTATTTCTCGTGCCTTTTATAATTGACGTGTGTTTTGAACACTATTTTTATAGAAAATGCTAGACACATTTTTAAGCAAGGTTAATTCAAAACTAACAAATTCCACACAATTCGATTACAATAATGTTTTGTACTTGTTCATATCGTTTGATATCGTCTTTCGTCTTCTACATTGTTAATTGTACTGTCATTTTTTATATTTTAATTTAATTTGTATCACAATTAGACAGAACATTGTTTCTGGACAATTAGACAGGCACGTTGTCTAATTGTCCAGAAACGGCTATCAGTGGTCAGTGTTGTTAAAGAAGACTTTTATAAACTGAATTTATTAGAAACAAGAATGATTTTTGAATTTAGTAGCAATGAATGACATTTTTATTTTATAAAAATTTTATAATTTTATTTTATATTTTTAATTTGTTTTTGTTTTGTATATTTGAAAGAAATTTTAAAGATGTCTGTAATTGTTTTTTCGGTTTAAAATTTTAGTTCAAGTAATGAATGGAGAAAATGCAGTTCTTCTTACATCCATGTTGAAATTAAAAAGTGGCAGACTTTTAAGAGAGGCAGCAGATTCCTGCTTACAGTTCTGGGGAGGAATGGGCTACACCAAAGAAGCCGAAGTCAGTAGATTCTTTCGTGATAGTCGTCTTTTATCTATAGGAGCAGGAGCAGACGAAATTATGCTGGCTATTATTTGTAAATTGATGGATATATTGCCTGGTAAATCAAAGAAAAAGACAAATTAATAGTAACTTTTATAATTTATAAAATATATATGAAAAGTTATATCTCCATACAAACCAAATTATTAATTTTTGTATAAATCTATTGTAATTTATATGATACTTTACATGAACTTTTAAAAATACGATTATATACAAACGAATTTATTAATTTTTAATATATTTTTAAATATAGTAATTAAAAATAATTCAGCATAAATTTTAAAGATATTTTTAACTGAAAAATATCTTCAAAATTTATGATTTAAAAAAATTATAATTTAAAAAAAAATTGTCAACTTTTATAGTTTTTTGAAGTTCATTTGTAAATATAGAATTTAAAATATGTTAATTTACAAATATACATTAAAAAATTAGATAAAATTATCAAGTGTCAGTTTCAATTAGTTTTTGTTATTTGTATATCTTCAAATTATATTTTATCCTTGTACTTATATTTTTTTTAATAAACATTACCTGGATCTGTATATTGGAATACTTTATTAGTATCTGGCTGCTTGAATTTTAATTTAACACAAGTATTCTATTTTTTTTAAAGTACGAATAATTTCATCATTTATTTATATTTCAAATATAATACAAATGAATAATAATTCTCACCTAGTCACTACCTTGTCAAGGTGAGAGAGTTTAATATTTTCAATACCATAGAGCAAGCCTTGTGGTAGGATAAGCTCCTAGTTGGACAACTCATATCAGAGAGGTCTATCCAGAAACACAAAGAAAATATGTTTAAAAGAAAACTATTCGAACATTTAGAAATTATAAAAATATAAAATAATAAAAGATAACACAAGCCTACAGCTACATGACTTGGGAGGTTTTCCTAACAGATGGGGAAGGGGGAAAAAACCAACACATATTAATGTTAAAGCAGGTGTGAAATAGTGATGTACTGCAAGTTGTGTAACGCCATGATACAGCACGAACTCACCAAATTCATATTTTGTATCGAATATTGAAATCTATGTATAGTGACTGATGAGGAATATGATAGGCCCGAAATTCGCTTCGCAATAAATACATAGGGAAAGAAAACAGTGTCTCAATTTCAGTGACCGTCCAGTGTGATAAGTCTGCCTATTGGAAAATTGCATTAGCAAGAATCATAATAAACTTTTTCTGGAATTTATGGGACAATCGTTACAGAAGTTGGGCACAATGTTGTAAAAACCGATCATTCCATTGATTTTCTTAGCATTCTGGCCTACTTCTTCAGAAATAAAAATTTTGAAGTAATATATAAGAAAAATATTTTCAAAAACTTAAAAAAAAATAGTTACAATTTTAGTTAAGGCTATTGTTAGTTTTACGGGCTTTTTAAGCAAGATAACTCTTCGGTGCCAACAGAGAACATTTTAGAAAGATGGTCATATAATGAATGAAAGGAGAAGTAGAATAAAACCAGAAAAATTAGATACTCTAATTTTTTTAAATAAAAAGTTGTAATAAAAATTTATAATAATTTTCATATTTACAATCTTTGAAATAACATTTAAAATTGTGTTAATATGTTCAGTTTATCATCTTAATAAACAATAAAGTTTAAAAGAGTAGTTACTTGATCAGTTATTGCATTACCAATTTCATTATCTAATAAGATTTGTTTTCAAATTGCGATATTTTGCATTTTTTTTTGTAATACTTCGCGTAATCTTGAGTTGATCAATGT